GGTTACATGTCAAAACTGCTAACTCCCAGCACTGCAAACGCTATCACCTGTAACAGTATGAGCTATAATGTTGATTTTATGAACAAAGCTGGGTGCTCGGCTGAAAGCTCCGGTTCTCACCTTGCTGCGAGGGTTTCTTAGACTAAAACAGACGAATATTACACCCGGCAGCTAAGCATTAAATAGAGGTTAGCTGAGTTAGCTCGGTTGGCCTAGTCTGTGATGAGGGATCGAGATTTGTATTGTTTTTCGTTGACGCTGTTGCTGCCCCTTTTCTCCGCCTCATACTTCAGTCTTAGCGGTAAAAACGAGAATGTTAAAACGCTATTCTGATCGGCCAGAGGTTTTAGCCAGATAGCAAGATTAAGTTACTCAAGTGACGATTTAAACTGAAGAGACTCAAAAGATTTGTTGTTTACCTTTGTCAGTTGTCACTGGTTAGCGGGCTAGGCTAGTAGTAATGCATTGCTAGCTCGACGGTAGCGTTAGCTTCTTAGCTAGCAAGTTTTGCTAAAAGATGCAGCAACGTTAGCTTAGCTGAGAAGCGTAGCTTTCGGTCCCATGCGTAGTACTCCTTAAGGAGGTTCCTGTACAGTGGTGAGCCTCTGTGGCTTTAAGCACACTATGTTAAAGAATTTATGTACAAAAATGTTAGTTACAATACAGAAATAAGGAGTGTACGCCTGGAGAATTCTACTTCGATTTTAAGTTGACGTAAGACAACGTCATACGTCTACACGACGCACGCAATATTAATGTCCGCCCACAATCTTATAAATATGAAGAAGACCCTGGCTGAGGTGGATTATCTATCTGATAGATATATACATTTTCTTACGTTTTCTCTGCGAGGGAAATGTTGCTTATCCCATAACGTCCTGAACAGGTCTCTAGTTGATCACAGAGACAGACAACCTCACACCACACTCGCCCACACAGCCCACTCCCCACATTTGTACCAGTTATTAAAGACAGAAGAAAAAACTTGTGTTTTTATTAATTCAACGTAGTTTTATTCTATATTTAGCTTCTGGTCGTCCAAATCCCACTTGCTGTGGCTCTATGTCCCACCAGTGGGGCCACCACCAGAGTTTAAGAACCATTAAATTAACCTAACGTGCTTGTTCGATGAGCCTTTCTAAGCTCCTGTATTGCACTTATGTGTGTGGTTGCTGAAATCAGTTTTCTCATCAACATAAATGTCAATACCAAATGATTCCCAGCAGAACACTGCATTATTAACAAAATGACTAATGGTATTCTTTCACTTGTTTCTAATGTCGTGGCTGAGTAGTGTATACTATTCTGTCATCTTCTCTCACTGTACTTATACAGATAAAGCCAATGTGAATTTTATTGTTATATCACCTGTATGCAAAGAGACAAAATTGTGAAGCTCAGGTTCCACAGTGTGCACATATACATAGTGCAAAAAAGACCACACATTGTGCTTCGACATAGAGAACAGTCGAAATACAAAATACAAAAATGCCAAAAAGTAGGCAATATTCTGGCAAAATTAAACTAAACTATAAATGTAATATTCAAAGATAACATATGATCATGCTTGAATTGACCCACCATCCTGAGTGTATGGACAGTACTGTGTAAGATATAAATGGCAGGTGCTATACAGTTAAAAATGTGCAATAGACAAGAAACAGCAACTTAACCTGAATATAAAATACAGTAGATATAGACCATTATCACATCTGTCCAGTGTCATTTCACTGATGCCTCACAACAATGTAAAACTTTCTTTCATCTCTTTATCAGAATCATTTTCCATTCTATTTTTTTATGTGCTGTCATTGAACCTTTTTTAAAGAAAGCAAACTTTCATCCTTCTGTTCTTACATATTTATAAGTTGTTTTTTTTTATTTAAAGTTTTTTCCACAAGCTTTTAGCTTTTATTTTTCCTCCTCAGTTTAACCAGTGACTATCTTTTTAGCAGTCCACAGAGAAGACTTTGAGGTCTTTAAGACATGTCAGAGTTTCACGAGGTTCGACAGATCTTTAGATGATGATCCTTTAGATCATCTTAAAAAATGTTTTCAGTTCAATTAAGCTTTATTTATATAGTACCAAATTAGAATAATATAGGCCTTAGAACACCTTATATTACAAGGTAGAAAACCCCCTTCACTATTCTGGGGAAAAACCCAACAATCATACAAACCCCTATGAGCAAGCATTTTGCATGGGAGGGAAAGAAACACTCCCTTTTAACTGGTAGAAACTAACCGAATCAGGCTCAGGGAGGAACAGCTATCTGCCACAAGTGGTTGGGAGGTGAGGGGAAAGAGAAAAGAAGAAAGAGAAGAGAAAAGCAAACCAGAGCATAAGGAGATAGGACAGAACATAGACTAAGGTAGAGAGAAGACAACATTTTAATGACATGCTGCAGTAATATATAAACACGTAATGAGGGAAAAGTGGTGGGTGAAGAAGAAGTGCTCAACACACCACAGTGTATCACAGGAAGTCCTGCAGCAGTAAACGGCATGGTTCAAGTTCAATTGTACCCGCCCCAACTAATTTATGAGCTTTATCACAAAGGAAAGTTCTGAGTTTAATCTTAAAACTAGAGAGGGTGTATGTCTCCTAAATCCAAGCTGGTAGCTGATCCTGCAATAGAGGGGCTTTCTAACTAAAGGCTCTGTGCCACATTCTACTTTTAAATACCCTAGGAACCACAAGAAAGCCTACAGTCTGAAAAAAGTGAAGTGCTCTGTTATAATTGCTCTGTTAGAATATAGTTGGTATTTAGGAGAAGATGATTATGGGACATCCAGGTCTTTATGTTTTTAAGACATGCCTGTAGTTTAACTAATTGGGTCTTCGGCCTACATGAATAAATATAATGACCTATCATCTTCATATTAATGAAAGTGTGTGCGATCTTTTCTTTTTTGGCAATCCTTTCAGTGTGTGCATGTATATGGTGCATATGGTATCTCTTATTTTTTTGTGTAACCCTTTGTTTCATGTACAGCATGTTTGTCAACTTTGTTGTTTTTAAATGTGCTTTATGAATACATTTGGACTGCATTTGGAAGGAAAGGGTGTATAAAGTAAAACTAAGGGTCTTATCAAGGATTCTGCAGTTGATTGTTGCATTCTTATCTTTTAGAAAGAAGTTTGTTGGTCACCATAGACACAGTGGCCCAGAGACCTAGCTATTGCTGTGATATTGATGCTGAATATTAGAAGACGCTGCATTTTCTTTTACTTTATAGATCAGAATAAAATTGTTATTGTTCAGTCCCACAAACGGCATGAATAGCGATAAGAGTTCTCTTGGCTCTTTTTTTTTTTTTTTTTTTTACAAATATAAAGAGATACAGGAGTTCCAGTTTATTCAGGTTTGGGTTGCTCAGTTCTCCAGTCTTTCTTCCTTGAAATAAAAAAGCACCCCCAGAATAAAACCAGTATCCTCATACTCAGACGTGAAAGGAGTCCTCCACACGTGCATCCTAATACTGCAATTTATTCTCTTTGATATAAATGAAAAGTCACTCTTCCACCTTCAGCTAGTTTAGAACATAGCAGAAAGCCTTTTCAATGGTTTTAGTAGACTTTATCACATCACCATAATCATGGCATCTCTCCATGGGCTTCCTGTATATTTTAGAATTGATTTCAAATGTTACTAACCACTGTTAAATTAATGCTGGCCCTAGTTAAATAGCGGAAACGTTGACCATATTGCTCAGTTCATACACTTACATCCTAGGATGTGACCCTTCTGCCCTTTCAAAGTAGTGACTACATCTAAAGGTGGCTTTTGCCACTTGCAGACTCTGTAGCATCTTTTTTAAAAATTCACTTTTTAAAACACAAGACTAAAAGATTTTATCTACTAAATTAAACTGCATATGGTAGCTTTTACTGTCTGGGTATTCTCTATCAGTTGTCTTGCTTATTGTTAACGTTCCTTTGCTGTTACAATTTCATTGGCATTTATTATTCATTACTTCCTTTCCATTATTTTATTAATGCCAATTTTGAATCATGAAGAACACAATTGGTACTTATCAGTACAGATAAAAAGGGTCACTGCACCTAATTATTTTTATTTAAAACAAAATGGTCTAGGAAACAGCAAAGTGTGTTTGGCCAGAGGTGCAACATACCTACAATTTCCACCAGTAGAGAGCAGCATGGCAATAAATTTTTTTCCTTTCAGATACACAATTAATTTACACTTCTAATTTGACAATATTCCTGGGCACCGGGGTAGGTTGCTGTGTAAGTGTAATGTAATTTATTCATAAAGAAAGGAAACTGATTTCTTTCAGGCTGCAGATTCTTGAATGCACGGCAGTTGTGCAGAGTGTGAGATCTGACTTAAGCCTTTTAGTTTCAGGCGTGGTGGGAAAAGGCCCTATAAGGCAACACAGAGCATGTGTAAGTGACCAGTGCCTTACAAATTCCAATATTGACCAAAAAAATCCAGTATCAACTCTAATATTACAATGTGCTGTCACTTGTGATTTATAGGTTGCCCTTCCATAATGTAACCAGAATGTAAAACAGTAAGAATTTTTTAAAATAAATTATTCTTCCCACACTTTTGGCTGCTTAAACATAATAGCTTTCTTATTTTTTATTATTATGACTTAAATTGTATAAATAAAATACTTCAACTCCTAAACAACATTCTGTTTTGCTATTGTTTAAGGATATGAAGACGTCTTCTACATCTGCAAGTTTCACTTTGATATTCACGTTCACATTATAAAGGGAAGTGAAAGTCGCAGATACTAAGTGACAGTAAAAGACAACACAAAATGATTAACCTGATCATCTTCAGGTTTAAATGGCCTAAAATTATTCAATTTCAACTCCAGCTTCTTCTGCTACGGTAAAATGTGTGAGTTTAGTGTGTAAATGTTTTCCATAATTTATCCCCTATGCAATAAAAGACTGAGATACGTTGCTCCGCTTCACCACTGCTGTCATGTTTTCCTGCTGAAAGGAGGAAGCATGACTGAGAGGCGATCTAGCATTGTGTCTGCCCTCCCCTGCCATCTTTAACAGTTTGAAAGTAACTGTCAGTCTATCGCAAACAGTTTAAGCAAGGCGGTGTTACCCTCAGGACTTAAAAGCAGAGAAGGATCCTTTGAGAATGGTAGGTGAAACTGATGCAATTTCTTGAAAGACTTAGCTTTTCAATTGAAGTTCACTGCATTCGATGAACCGTAATACTACGTATTTGTCTGTGCGCATAAAGATATTTGTTCTACTTAACCATTGCGACCATCCCCCTTGCTCTATAAAACAGGAAACTACAATCTTGCATATTGCTGCAACACATTTCCTGCCCTCAAAATGTCAAAGAGTGTCATGGATGTTTAATATACCCATGCAAGGTGGATAGAGCCCTTTACAGATCTAGTAGATGTCCTTCACCCCGTTTTTTTGTTTCTATTTTTGGTCTGTAGACCAGCCCACTTAACTATTTATCACAGTATTATCTGGAGATATTGAACATTTAATAGAGTGACACAATTTAACTAATGTTTTCATGGCCTGTTTTTACAGTCAAGCTCTTTAGTTGTGTGTGAAGTGGATGAAAGTCTGAAAGATAAACTGAAAAAGTTTCGATTTCGAAAAGAGACCAGCAATGCTGCCATACTAAGTAAGTAACGTTTATCCGTTCCTTACACACGTACTTCACATTTGTAAAACCATTATCAAACATTTTCATCGCATATGAATATCTGCAGACCAAGTAATATAAAATAAAATCAAAGCACAAAAGATTTCTCTTTGAAATTTCTTAGTGAAAATAGACATGGCGAAACAGCTCGTTATTCTTGAGGAGGAATATGACGTAAGTCAATTTTTTCTTTCTCTCTTTATTTACTCTGTTTGTTTTGATTTAAAAAGTCTCTCGCACTCTGTCTTGTCTTCTAGGACATCTCAATGGATGACTTAAGAAATGAACTTCCAGAGCGGCAGCCCAGATATCCTTACATCATATCATGAAAAGCAAAATTATTAATTAAAAAAAAAAATAGTCTTTTTGCAAAATCAAGTGATCTTCTGTTGGCTGCTCCCCTTCTGGGTCACCGGAGTTGATCATCTGCCTCCATCTCATTCTATCCTATTATCCTCTTCTGTCACACCAACCCTCTGCATGTCCTTTTTCACAACAGCCATGAATCTCCTCTGCGGTCCTCTTTTCCTCCTGCCTGATTGCTCCATATCCCTTCTGCACACGTCCAGTCTCAGGGTTGCCGCTATAATTTTGTCTCAACCTGAGCTGTCCCTCTGATGTCTTCATCTCTAATCCTGTCAATCAAATTAAAGAATATTAACATATTCAGCTTTGCCACCTGTCTTTTTGCCAGTGTCACGGTCTCCAAACCGTACATCATAAGAGGTCTCATTGCCATCTTGTAAACCCTTATAAATCATCCCCGATACTTTTTCCCACCCACTCTACCCTGGCTGCACTCTTCTTCACCTCTCTTGTGCACTGGATTGGTTGACCCCAGGTATTTAAACTCATCCACCTTTGCTGCCACTACTTTTCCAGCATCACCTTTACATGTCTCCTTCTTATTCACACATATGTATTCTGTCTTGCTTTTACTGACTTTCATTCCTCTTCTCTCCAATTCATACCTACACCTCTTCAGACTCCTTTCTGCTTGCTCCTGTGCAGATTCTACTGATATGGTTATATACACAGAAAAGTTCCTTGACAGAAACGTACATTCATTGTCTACAGCTACAAATATGTCCATGATGATGGCAGAGTGTCTTACCCGCTGTGTTTCATATTCTCCAGTCCTGTGGGTAAGAAGTTACAGTAATCTAGATTCTTAAAGCATTGTAGCAACAATGGCAAAGTAAACTAATCTAAAATACACTTTTAAATGTTTTTATGGTGATGAAGGTTGAATTAGAATTCTAAAGATATGTTTGGGCGAGTATTAAAATTACCCCCCAAAAAATGTCACTTTCATTTTAATAGGGTGCAAGCCAGAGCAGCAGATGATGTATGCAGGAAGCAAGAATCGACTGGTCCAAACTGCAGAGCTCACAAAGGTAATTATCACAAAATTATGAGTTTATAATATACAGTGGTATGTTGAGTAAATACACTAGTATTTAATGTAACAATGTATAATATTTCTACTTTTTATTCAGAGAAATTGAAAATCTGTAAATTTGTAGATTTTAATTGAAAGTCTCCGATTTACTTTTCTCTGAAATCTACTCAGTTGTTTTTAGTTATGTAGTTGACATACTTTTATGTTTACTGCCAATTTATTTAGCAGGTTATTCATATTTTAATGTAATGTTTTCTTATAAACATGTCTTTTCTTACATGTTAATTCTCCTGTGTATGAGCCATTGCTCATTTTATAATTTCTTTGCTTTACTCTCTAAGGTGTTTGAAACAAGAAACCCCGATGACTTGACAGAAGAATGGCTGAAGAGCCACCTGTCATTTTTTCGCTGAATGTACATCTTCTGCATCTCCAAAGGTTCCTTTACGAGGCTGTCAGTTTAATGTCCATCTGGTGTGTATGGAATTGTTAATAAACATTTTAACCCAAACAGCTTTGTCAGTTCTGCATTTAAATCAGTCATTTTAGGGTTTTTTTTTCCCCAGATGAACAAATACAATACTATAAGATCAGCTGTACTAATTACAGCACAGGTTAAATTCATGAAAATACTCAAGAGGTTCCCAAATCAGAAAAAGACGCAGAAAAAGAACAAACTCTGGTCAGAGGTTTTTTTTACAAAATGTCGTCTACAATTTATTACCTGCTTTGAGAGCCCACATGCTTTACACTATTCCCACTCCAAAGGCATTTCAAGAGTGGAAAACTTTTCTTCTTTTTTTTTTTTTTTTTTAAAACATGATCCTGTAATGACCATCTGGCAAACAATATAGAGGAATGGCGTACAAATAGCAACTAGAGTTAAATCTACAAATAAAAACTGGATTAAACAGAGTTGTATCCAGGTGAAAGGTTACCAGCATTTCATAAACAATTTGTAATCAGCAAGAAATTTCAACCCCACATCAGGCCAATATTATACTCAATGACAGTGTAAGAGCGCCAATGTTTGGAGCTCAATATATAGATAAGACAGGTCACCGGCTCACTGGTCTTATTCACTGTCGCTGGCGTCACTGGAATCTGAGCCTCTGTCACTTCCACTCCCACTCTGAGCCCGAGTCTCTGAATGGTCGCTGCTGCGGTCGCTGCCTGCAGGAGAGGCGCTGCGACTCCGGCTGCCTCTTCTGTTCCCTCCTTCATCCTCACTGTCGCTGCCCTCCTCCCCGCTGCTCCTGGCTGAATTCTTTGGCTCATTGTCGTCGCTGTCGTCATCACTGCCAAAGATCTCTTCCTCATCTCGCATTTCTCTGGTCCTCTCCTCGCCGCTCTCGCTACCACTGCCGCTTGCCTTCCGCCTCCTCTTCCCTCTGTCTTCATCCTCGTCCTCATCTTCTCCCCTTTGTTCCTGTTCTTCATCGTCTCTCTCAGATTCACTGCCAGAGTTTTCTGCCTCGCTGCCACTGCCCTTCTTCTCATCACCTGGAGAAAATAGCAGTGCGTTGATTTAGCATAGTTACTGACAATCGCTCAAACTCATTTTACATCGAGGGCACATACGGACAAATGAGACTGCACTTTAAAGACATTTCACTACACATTTAATCCCCAAAATATTAATTAGATAATAAAGCGCAATAAGTGCTCAGGTTAAAAAAAAAAATTAAAAAAAAAGCACTATATAAGAATCGTTCCAGTTACCTAGATATAAGCTAAAGAAGTGCAATTTCAACAGCACATGACAGTTTTCCTACATCATAAATGTGTAAAATTACAGAAAATGCTCTGGTAGCTCACCACCCAGACTGTCACGTATTTCTAAAACAAAGTTTATGTTGCTTAATCCGACAAAAAAAATAAAATAAAATCATCAGAGTCTTTCCCCAGACAATTCTGGGTAGAGGGTAGAAAAGTCAGTAAAAATTATATGTCAACAACTTACCAGAATCTTGCGTCTCTTTGTCCATATCTTCTTCCTCATCTTCTGGCTCATGGTTCTCCAACTGAGCTTTACGTGCCTCCTGAAAAATCACAGTGAAGGCAGTCAGTTATAAATACACAGTAACAGAGGAATGACAAAAATCAAAGTATACGGCCATTCCTAGAAAGAATTTGTAATCTAGTGTAGTCTGTCGAGTGACATGGAAAACGCTGGAAGCAGGGGGCTAAATATATATAATAATGCAAACCATCATTGACCCAGTTAGTTTTTGGTTTTTTTGCTTAAAGCAATAAAAGACACCTCCCATACCGGCACTTCTTTTGTATAGCAACTACTTTGTTTATCAAATGTGTTGCAGCAGAACTACTTCTATTAGATCAATCATACAGTTCTAAACTTCTAAATAGTTTTGTCTTTAAAGACATTGTATCAATCCCAATCTTCTTCCAAGAAAAACAAAAAACAAAAAACAAAAAAAAAATTTCAGTAACAACAACATACGTTTCTAGCTTCATCAGCAAACTATAGGATGGAAAGCTAAACTCTTGATTGAAAGCTCTGAAAAACAATGAAATGCACTCACCTGAGCTTCAAGCTCCTTCTCATTCATGTCTCTGTGCTTACACACCAGCACAGCGTTTGTTGTAGACTGTGCTCCAGCCTTGGCTCTTCTCTTGCTCAAGCGCACCCTACAGGCCAGAATAACAGTTGTAAAAGGTCTTGGCCAGCCAGTTATTTGTCATGACTGTTTGTGCAACAACATCAATACCACCAATACCAAAACTTGTGCAACAAACCAACATGTACAATGTTGAAGTAGTTAAAAATATTTTCCATCCAAGTGTCAACATATACAAATCATTTCTAAGGTGTCACCTTGTCTCCAGCTCATTGTAGTAAACACCGTCTCCATCTCTGAAGATAAAGAAGTAGTTCTCTTCATAGCCTTTGCTGGCTTTGTTCTTAACGTTCCAGTTGTATTCCCTTGCTATCTTGTAATCATAGCTGAAACATACCATACAAAATTCCATTATACTTGTGTACAGTACACTTTCACCAAACACACTCAAAAAAAATAAAATAAAGTAAAATAAATAACACCCAATTTATGTTAATTTAATGCAGTAAATTCCACAGATACATGTTTGTGATGCATTATTTTACTTACAGATCCTCAGGCATGTAATCAATCCCCTCTTCAAAGTCTCTCTTGCGCTTTCGGAGCGTTTCCTCATTGGGCAGGAAGTAGGCCACAAACTGATTTCCTTCCTCATCCATCATACCTCTATATTTCACAAACAACAAGTGACATTTAACAAAAACAAAAAAAACAAAACAACAACAAAAAAAAACAAAAATAAAAGCGGTTGAAGAGGAGAACAGAGAAAACACATCTGATCATACCTGATCATGGCCTGAGACATCATTTCCACAGCTGCTGGTCCAGACATGTCTTTAGGTGCAGGATCGGAGTCAAATATGACTTGAGCACATGGATTGATCCACATCTGGGGCAAAGAGAAAATGTATTTATTATTTTTAACTACCAGCGCAACAAAAGTGGATTTCTTTTGTTGTTGTTGCATGCATGTTTCAATCATTAAGGTTCCATGGGTTAATACAAATAAATTCAGTTAAGGACTTAGCTCACCTTAAAGTCAGGGAACACAGGTAGTACCTCCACAGGAGTAACTCTGGGTTTGCTGTAATGCTGTGTAATCTGGAGATCAAGAACAACTCCATTTTAGCTAGTTTGTAGCTTACCAACACAAACACGTATCAAAATAAAAGAACTCAATTGACAAAACAGAACAATTTTTTTTTTTTTTTTTTTTTAAATTGCCAGAACAAGAGTCGCACATCCAATACAAGGTTTAAATTGAACTCATTTCTTTTACATATTATATCATTTTGTTGGTGTAAGGAGAGAAGGATTTGAGCTAGGGCTGCTCAATTAATCGAATTTTAATCTAAATTACGATCTGGGCTTTCAATGATCATTAAAAATGACTGAGCCGATTATTAGCACCTCCCTCGTGCTTTACTCTCGCGTGGCAAATCAAGCGCACCTCTCTGGGTTTCGAACACCCGTCACAACAAGAGGACCCGAGGGACGCTCGGAAAGCTCGAAAAGGTGAGCAGAAGTTATTTGGAGAGGAGAGGATAATGGCTGCTGAAGAAAGAATGCCGTTGGTTGAAAAGAGAGGTAAAACGACTTCAGTGGTGTGGAAACATTATGGGTTCGCGTAGTGTGTCAGCTTTGCGACGGTGTCGTAGCTGCACCACAGAGCAACACTACAAATTTATTCAATCATTTGAAGACCGCTCACAAAGTGACATACGATCAAACAATGAAGGAGCACAGAGAAAAACTCTCGACAACACCTGCTTCATCCTCACAGACCTGCATTCACAATACCCTGTACAACGCGACTAAATATCCCACCAGCTCCCAGAGATATAAGGAGATAACAAACGTGGTAATGTTTTTCCTCGCCAAAGACCACTGCTCAGTGATAATCAACACTTTTCAGTTATTTTTTGTATTGCAAAATTTGCACTGTTATCAGTATTTGCACACTATTTTATATTATTTTTTGACAATCTTTAAAGCCAATATTCAGTACATTGTTAAATAAATATCGTCAAATAATTGAGATCTCAATTTCAGTAAAAATAATCGTGATTATTATTTTAGCCGTAATCAAGCAGCATATTAATATGCTCACTCACAGATTTCTGTGCATCCTCAAACGTCTTCTCAATCGCAGAAATCTGACTGTCTCGGTCCTTGTAGATCTCTTCTTCTGTAAACTGCTGTTTGACAGACACTCCAATCCTAAACGCAAAAACAAAAACGTCTCGATTACATGAACACCTAGAACATGCATCTGTACATGTGTGGGTCTTGTTAATGTTGGTTTATGTTGGTTTATAATGGAGCACTGTAACAAAAAAAAATAATTTCCCCCAGGGATCAATAAAGTATTCTGATGTGTGAAATGTAAAGGTGGAGTTCACCGATCCAACTTACTTGACTTCCACTTTCTCATTGGAAACACCGTATCGGTTAAACTCTGTGGAAATGTATTCCGTTTTCCTCATCCATGGGACAACTTTGGCATGCTGCTGCGACCTTATAGGGAAGGGGAAAATTGCTCAAAATAAAAATATTGCTGAATGCATAACACAAAGCAGCCTATTTAGTAGTCATACCTCTTTGAACTGGATGGAGCCTGGATGTCCTCCTCCAACAGTTTTTCATCAGCGGGATCCAACAGAACTGAAAATGTGAAAGATTAACTTAGTCTGTGCAGACATTTAAATAATTCACAATGTAAATTAAGAACAGGATCAACCTTGATGGAGACTTACTGTTGGGGTCTATGCGGTACGTGTCTGGGTTGATAAGATCAATGGTGACCCCAAGGTCTGGTTCAGTCAGGAGTTCATGCTTGTGCTGCTTCTCAAGAGAAGTGGCTTTATACTGTACAAACCTGCCAATAAAGAAAACCACAGGTTATATAATGGGTGTGTGTTTAAACATG